TGGTAAATGTATTTTTAAAGGTTGGTAATCTGTTTCCTGCCTAGAAAAACCAAGGAACTCAAAGAGAAAAGGAGATTATGGTCATATCTGTTATTCAATGCTGTGCTGTTTCTCTGAATTCTATCTTCTGCACAGTTACAAGCCCTGCAGGAAAGGTTTATGCAACTTGTATTGAAAACTTTCAGATTTCCTATTTCTCTGAGCAAGTTGGTTTCTGGCTGAGCAAGTTAACTTTTACTGCTGGGCCATCTCTCCATATCTTCCCTTTCCCTGGAAAATTTGTGGTCTCCACTGTTCCTGACCACTCTGCATAGTTAGCAATCCCTCCAGTCTCACAATACCAGCAGTGTAGCAACACCAGCTCTATACAAGTCCCTTTGAATTCTGTTGTCAGTTGTATTTCCTGTGAATAAAGTGTTGCTGTTTTAGAATTCCAGGGAGCCCTGAATATAAACGTATCAATTATGTGTCAACACAACAGCATCTGTCGTTGAAATTGGGTATCATTTATTTGGCATCAGCATAGCAAAGATTTGGCTGACAGCCAGAGTGAAATATTCCAGCAGAAACTGCTGCAACAGGAGCCATCTCTGAAGTAATTCTCTGAAATTCAGGTGCTCTAACACAATGTTTTAATATATTCCTAAGACATTAGGGACCTTAAGCAAAAAGCCTTTCATGTTGCACATTCTTGCCTGCTGTTATTTCTTTTTCATGACTAATTTTTTTTGTTGTTTCTGCTCTCTGAACAAATGTGTGCAAGGTTCTGGGATGTATATATCCCACGATTTAATATCCTTTTTTGACTTTCCATTTCTTATTTCAGCATTGTTTGCATAAAAATTCCAAATGAATGCAGGTGATGCCTGATTTGTGGAAACTTTACTTAACTATGAAAGAGGCAAGATTTCAGAATAGGAGCCTAAGAAATTGTCCCTTTCCTTGTAAAAGATATACAGTTTACATTTTTTTAATGATTAATTTAGTTTCTCTCGTCTTCCTTGCTTTTTCTTAGATCTAAGTAAGTTTCACATTCCTAAAGATGTGAGTCAAAACAGTATTTACATAGTTAAGTAAATATTTTAGAGTACCTCTAGGAAATGGAGAACTGGGATCACTTTGGTCTTATGGATGATCCTTATTATACTTGAAGGAGGGGAAGAGATAACTCTTTGATTAATGGTATAGCTTGTAATAGTTAGCTGGTTGATTCTAATACCTTTTAAAAAATGAAAACAAGAGCATCAGAGTTAGAAAGACAGGCGTGAGATCATGTAATATATCCAAATGTTTACCTTGTACCTTTTTGTTGACTCTGGGCTCCAGTCAGTCCCCATCCCTTCATGAAATTAAAGTTTTTCACTTGTGTGCTAAAAAAACCTCCTTTCTAGCAAAGCTTTAAGAATACAGAGATAAAAGTAGTTGGAAGAAAACACACATTGGATTTTAAGTGCTGGAGGAAAAGCTTGTAGAACAAAGATGAACTGCTTAATTTTAAGGTATTTAGGTGGGTTTTTTTGTGTATTCCTTCCTCCTCCCTGAGGTTTGAAGTACTGTGGAAATTCGGTTTCTCTCAGGGGAGAACAATGAAAGGCAGTGAAGTCCATCATAATGTCTGCATTTTAAATGGGTTGGTTTCTCTTTGGGAGAAAAAAAATAGTAAATTTGTATTAGCTCTTAACTTCTTACTCTCAAAAGAAATCACAAATCTAGAGTTAAGTAATGAAACCTCTTTAGGAAAATCAATGTTACCTTTATCCGAGCTCAATTTATTCAAGGGGTCAGCTTTGTTGGCTGCCCTGGCATATCTTGAATTTAATGATTAACCTCTTAATGACTGTTCATGTAACTTCCATCTGGTATTTTATATAAGCATAAGCCAAGGTGATAATAGAATGCCGTAGTAGAATGGAGTGTGCTATTCAGGGGAAAATCTCTTTCCAAATCCTATATGCAGAATGCATCAGCCCCAGTGAAACTGAGAGAAGCCCATTAAGAAATCCGATTAGCTGTCTGCTCTCTAGGTGAGTTAAAATCTCTGTCCAGTGTGGTAATCAGTGATGTCTAACTGGTGGCTTATCTGGTAATGGCGCTGTCGCCTTTTATAGAGGCGCCTTCCCTTGCAGTTCGGCCAGGCATGGGTATTCATTTCAGCCACGTACAACACTGAGCGTCGAAGTGAGACCCTGTAATAAATTTTAAAATCCTCTTCAGAGCTGAAGCTGGCACCGTCTTGTTCTGTTGTGTCGCCCTTCGTTTCAGCAGGTTTCCTTGCGAGGTCTCTAAGTGCCATGTAAGGGGTAGCAGGCAAGAGGAGGGAGAGTGGGCTTTGTGTGAGAGCAGCACAGAAAAAGTGCAGCATTAGGTTCAAGTGCCAACGTAATGTCAAGTACTAGCCAGTGGGCTTGCTCCAGTGGTAATTTTCTGCAGGTAAAAAAAAAAAAAGAGACATGTAGTTTTGGGAAGTAAATATCAAAAATACTTCAAAAGTAGCTTTAGTTAATGTAATAGCCTGTAAAGTCTAAATCATTTTCCTGTTAAAATGGAGAATGTGAGGAAGAGCAATTCTAATGTCAGTAGTCCTTGATGTATTTATCTCCATAAAAATACAGACCTGGTGTCCTTTCCAGATCCATAGATGTTTGTGCCCATGGAGAGACCTGGCTGAAACCTGTGGAGCACTGCAATAGCAATTGAGACAAGATGCCAAATGGGAACTGAACTTTTCATCAACTCTTGCCACATGAACATAGTCCTCTATCTTTTGAAGGTGTCATCTGTTGGTAGTTGCTTCCCATTAGTTTGTATTCGTCGTTCTTCTTTTCTTTCACTCAAAGGGGGGGGAATTTTGGCTGTTATGATGGTTGGTTTTTTTTTAAATTGTTATATGCTTTTTGCTTGTGGGTTCCAGCAAGTTAGTGTGATCTTAGCCATGCTTTGCACCTTATTTTGTATTTCATTCTAAACTTGCTATTGTGAAAGATACTGCTATTGTCTCAGTTCTGTCTAGAGGTTTATGAAAAATTCTGACCTGTTGTTAGCGTCCCCGGTTGATTGGAACTTTGGTGTACTCTCAAGGAAGGGGAGATGATGCCTATGGTACAGCACAGTAGATAAAAGGTTATGCTTCTCTCTTCACTTTTTCAAAAACCTGCTTTGTGGTTATAGTTCTGGTTTCAAGTCTCGGATAATTTGTGAAAAGAAATCTCACTGTTGGACAGAGCAATGGCTGATGGCCTATATGACAGGGTGAATAAGCAGATCTGATACCTCTAGCCCTTTGTAGGAAAAAGATGGTTCTGAGAATCCTTCTGGAGGTAGTGTGTATTGTCCTTTCCTTGAAACGCACAGAATGTGCTTGTTGATTCCCTTAGGTTTTGGAGAGCCCATGCTCTGGAGTATGGATGCATTACACTTGGCATTATTTAGAATATTCAGGCTTTGGACTGGTTAGTAAAAGGCTCTGTGAAACCACTGTCTTGTTTTCTGTCCAGGTATTCAGTTTATTTGCCTCACTGTGTTGAACCTCTATCCCTTTACTTAGTCTCCCCTCTTTTTCCCAGTTCAAATTAGTGGCAGTGTTTGGGGAAATGAACATTTTCCTTTTCCTTTACACTTGCACCAGAACTTCAAAGGACAAATTGCCACTTTTTCCACTCTTAGGAGTGAAGTGCTATTTTATAGTACCCTCAGATTAAATATTGGGGTTGCTAATCTACTTCTCGCACCATAGTTCTTGTATTGAGGAAAAGCCTCTTTGGAGCAGTGTTTGCAAAACCATTTCAGTGCATCTCACTATTACCAACTCAGAACTGCAACCTTATATAAGCCAGTCTCCATCCACTTTAACTCCAGAACAACTGCGGTGATTAATATTTATATAAAAGCTTTCATGTTTCCACAGCTAAATTGTCTCACTTTGAAAAGAAAAGGTGGCTTTTTCCCTGTTGACTTGGTGTGAAAAAGCTTGCAAAGCTTTCTGGAAAAAAAAAAAAAAGGCTTTCAGCAGCACTGCAGCTGAGGCAGGCATCAGCAGAAGAACTAGGGTCATCTTTAATTCGGTATTTCACTTTGTGAAATTGCCTATTCTAAGAGAAATAAAACATTTACATGTATATTAACCAATGCTTGCCAGCTCTTGGAATAAAGCCAGTTCTCTTAGGGCCAAACAAATGCTCTGAGTGAATGAGTAATAATCTGCTATTGTCACTCCTAATTTATGGATGGGTAGATAGAGCAATGTTTGCCATTTTAAGTTGTCCTATTCGCTTGAAAGACTAGAAATCACGATTAGCTATCAGCTTGGAGTATCGATAGCATGTCTCTTTATAGCTGATTTACTCGGTATAGCTGTTGCGAAAGTTCAGAACCTCCCCACGTGATAAGAAGTAATTGTGGAAGAGGATGAGAATGCATGAAGGTTACAGAGGCTTTGGACACTAATTTGGAAGCTACAGCCAGAGTCTGAAAGATACATGGCATATCCTCTTTATAAATGACATGCCAGGTCTTCCTGTGCCTCGTTTGTTTTCTGAGGAAATCTGTATCGTCATCTCACTCGTAATAGAAAATTAAAAGTCTTATGGATTCCCAGGATAATGGCTGTATTGAGCTTTTGTTGTTGATAGATAAGTAAGAGGGGTGCATAATACTGAGTACCTTACAGTGACATTTTTGTGTATCTCTGCGCCTTTCCATTTGCTTAATCTTCTAACAAATGCAGTTAAAAACAGTTTTGAAAATTTCGTTTTACACGTTTATGAGCATGCTTTTGTCATGAAATTAATGGCAATCTGGGCACAATTGGGGTGAATAAAAATAGCAATGAGACTTCTTCTCTTGTTGAGAAAGATAGGTGTTTTTAATGGGAACACTTAAAATCCTACCCCTGTGAAGCCCGTATTAAATACTGCAGGGAGGCAAATAGCACAGCCCCTCTGGAGTAGGAGTTTAAGGGAACGAGAGTCACTCTTGAGATTAAATTGTCCACAGAGTGTCCTGTGAAGTCTTCCATGACATCTCCTGACTGGCTGTGGAGGAGTGTGCTATATCACACCTAAATATGTACGTAGGAGATGGATGAGAAGTAGAAACCTCAGCTGTCAGCCACTAAAAGCAAAGAAACACAGTGAAGAGGTGAGGCGATCATTGATGTCTGTCTTCTCTGATGGATGGACTCTTCTACTTCTCTCAGTCATTATTTCACTTCCATACAGCTTTTCTCCAATGCACTGGTTTGTCTTTCTTTTCGTTTTGCTGCATTTCTTGTGCGCTGAGGGGGCTTTCCTGCGCTTTCGGTCTGGGCTTTATTGTCTTGCTCACCTACTTGCACTGCATCATTCTTTTTTCCTCCCCCTCACTCCCCCCCCCTTCATTAAACTTCCTATCTGTGATCTTGTTAAATGAAATAACAGCAAGAGCAATTGGTGTTGATGTTGTAGATACCAGGATGTCCACAGCCCAGAGTGCAGCCATTAATACTCTGCCTGTAAGCTGTGGAAGGCTGGCTCTGAAGAGATGCCTAAGGACATGATTCCTCAGCCCCTCTGAAAGGTCAGACGTAGGACTTAACTTCTGTACTGTGCAGCCTTAGCTGTCACTTGGTGTTCACAAGCACTTTGATAAGATTAAAAACTAATATGTCCCTGTTTTGAGAGGAGGTCAAATAATACACGATTCAAACTCTACATTCAAACTCTGGATCACGGGCAGGAACCCTTAAACACCCATTCTCTGAACATGCACAGTTCCCAAAACCATCCCCAGCACTGACTTGACTTCCACGGTTAGGAGTTCAGGGAACAACTTAGTTTGATTCTTGGGTGCCTGCTGTTGCACTGACAAGAGATTTCTACGGAACACTCCAGTAAAATAATATAATGTATAATAATACACATATCAAATGTGGCTGATATAAACAATGAAGTAAAATGAGTCGTATTTTTAAGATCTGGTCAGCAGCGTCTTAATAAAAATGGGGGGGTGGGAGGAGAACTAACTGTACCACAATAAAAACAAACCCCCCACATTAAAGACAAAAAACCCCCAAATCCCCCAAAACCCAACCCCCATAAACAAACAAACAAACAAACAAAAAACCCAAAAACAAACATAAAAAAAACCCCAACACCCCAAAGAGAAACAACCCTACCACCAATCTACCCAGCAGCCTGTAGCAATGTTTCTTGAAATTGCTCTAAAATATGGAACTATTAAGATTAATCTGAATCAATCTATACAGAGTAAGATAGATGTGTGCTTAGATCTCAGCAGCAGCAGGTGCTTGCAGTATTATAAATAGAAAGCAATACAAATTGAGGTGCTTATTAAATTTGCCTTTATGATGCTTTGAAGAATTGCCATAGAATAGAGAAGAAAAATTACCAGAGGCTCTGGATTAGAAGGATGACTTAAATAGCTGTGCTGCCAAAGGAAACAGACATAAACTAGAATAAGTGATATACTTGTTCAGAAAAGGTTATCTAACAGCAATTTGTCTTGAACATGGAGAGGTTGGCCAAGAGCTTTGGAGGGATGTGATTGAACAGAGGAGGGCTTAATTTTTTTCGTCAATTTTAATACAGTATTGAGTTTTAATATATCTTCCAGGGGATTGCACTGTAATCCTTTGTAGCACTTCTGTTTCTCAAGTTTTCCCTTAGTTCCCTTTTCTCCTTCCCCCGGCTGACAAAACCTAATTCTGCAGGAAATATTTGTGTTTGTGAAATGGACTCGTTCAGAATTTTTGTTGACTTTCGGATAAGGCCATGGTGAGAATCCTGTACGTTGTCCAGCATTTTCTAAAATCCTTGAAACGCTCTGGGGCCTCTGCAGAGAAGTGGCTGAGTGGAGCAGCTAACAAATCATCTAGTAAACTAGATCAGAGCAGAAGGCTCAACTCGCAGACTAATAAAAATAGATCTGCAATGTTTTTTTCTTTAACAAGATACTCAAATTGATTTAATTTGGCAGGGAGTACACCAGGAAATCTTAGTGTGGGAAAATCAGTGCTCTGGGGAGCAGTGAATTGTCCCATGTGAGATCTGCAGTTACTGCTTTTTAGTAGCAAAGCACAGGCGTGCTTGCTGGTGGAGACAAGGTCTGCGATGGCACGGTGTCGCTCCTGCACCTTCATCACATGGTTACTGTCTTGGAAAATGGCTGGCACAGAAACAGCGCGGACATCCAGGTTAGGAATGGTGATAACACGTGTGCACGTGCAGAACGAGTGAGTCATTATCACAGAGTGTAGGGGGAAAGGGAACACAACAGGACTCCTGGCAAACATACCCCTATCTCCTTGGCACTGCACACATGGGCTTACATGAGTTAAAGTGGCTAGTATGTCGTACTAAGCATTTAACATATTTTTGCCTACAGTTAGGAAATCACTTGCATCCACGTGCTTGTGAGTTGCAGGAAAAACTCAACCTAGCCAGTGCACGAGCGCCTCTTCCTTTGGAAAAATTCAGCAGGGAATGAAGCTGGTATCTTGCATTAAGATTGTTGGGTTAATGGAATGCTGTGTATCATTGGTGACTCTCAGAGCCCTGTGGATATAGCAGATTGCTTTAAAAACAACCCGAGTGGAAAAGAAGGCTGTACAGGACTCAATGAGAAGGGTCACTGTGAATACTGTTGCATAGGGAGAGGTCACGTTTTAGTCTTGGTAAGTGCTTTTAAAGGAGGTCGCTTGTACTTTACAGGGGTTGAACTGTGGTACTGATCGGTAGCTGCTGAATGGTGCAGAGAAACCTCAGAGACATTACAAGGGCTTGCTTGTAATGGGCTTTGTTACACACACGGCTCCATCCACAGCATTTTGCTTCTGAGTTTTTGAGCTGGTGGAAAGTCTTGGCAGTAGAACTGTAAATAGGAGTACATGAATAGGTGGTGCAAGGGCCAGTGTTGCGGAACTGATGAGGCAAAATAGGCTTATGTTTAGAGGGTGGCTTTGCTGGAAAACTGTATTTGGTTAGACTGTGCAAAATCTGTTTCTTTCCATCTGTAATTTTATTAAGTCTTAATTAAACTTTCTGCATTTAAATTAGTTTACATTAATGTCACACTGTCTTATTACGTGTATATTGACAGACACTAACAAGGATTTGATCATCCTAATCCAGCTGTATGTAATTATGTGCCTTCTCCTTAAATAATTGCAAAAAGTCTATCAATCATGGCAGGAAAGCCGACTGCTTTATTATAATGTGGGATTATTTAGTGAAATGTAATAAGACTTCAGGTTTAAGCTGGGGAGTAAACAGAATGAGATTTTACTGAGACCAGTAATAGGAAGAGAAAATTCTCCACCCATCCTGTGTTGCAAGTCTCAGTTCTTATCTTCCCTTCCCCCCCAAAAAAAAGGTGTCCTGATTGCACTGTTGTCACACAGATGTTGAGAACATTTCTCTAATTGGAAAGGAATTTGGGAAAGATATAGATTCCTGGCTGCCAGAGGAAGAGGTCTAGCCTACACCTATGGTGCTGTTCTAATGTAATGTATTCATTGATAACTTGATTACCCAGATCAAATGAGAGCATGCAGAAGACCACAGAGGTGGGAATGAAAGCCAAGCACTGCATAAGCTCTAAAACACCTGCCCTGCTTGGAAAACAAGGAAGGAAGGGAGTGACACAGGCACCCACTTCGTTGATTGTATTTGGGTCGATTTCTGTGTGATTTAGTTACTTTCCAATGTCATACAGTCCTTTCCTGGCACATGTACAAGCAGGGAGAGACAGGCATGTTGCCAGCAGTCTTTCCTCAGCCTCCTACTGGAAAACCATACGTGCCAAAAAAAACTTGAAAAACCAGAACTTCAGACAAGCCCTGAAGGGAATGAGTTTTGACATCTGAACTCCTTGTTGAGCGTGCTCCAGCATTGCATCCAACTTGATTTAAAACTGAATACCTCCAAGTTACTACATAAAATAAAATAAGTGCAGTTGTTGGTGCGGTGCTGTCCATTTTTCCCTGCAGGACTGTCTCAAGAGTATTTCATGAGCCCGGCTACATGTGCTTTTGCTTATTCCTACAGGAGAAAGTTCAGTGTCTTGAGCTAGAAGAGTAAGATTTCCCTTTGTGCCTTCTGAAGAAACAGTTTCACGAATAATTTTGAGTCTCTCATACACAGATTGTCATGTGGTCAGGAAGTACACATATCTAGATATTGCCCTGGTGTCTTGGGACTGTTCTTTCAGCTCTTCTCTTCTCTTGGTCACTCTCCATTGTCCCCCTCTCCAGCGCGCACACACGTGCGTATACCCCTGCCACCCCAGGCTCAGCCCTTGCCTCTGTGGGTTTTGTGGTTTTAAATTTTAACATTCCATTGTTGCTGTGGGCATGGATTTTCTGCCTGCCAATCTTTTAGCCTGGACTGAATTTTCAGTGCCAAAGCTTTAATGATGGTAGAATTATCACGAAAAGCAGTGACAGTCCCTCAACTCTCCTGTTTGCATTACAAAACTGTAACATCAGGCTTCGGACTGGCTGGTGTTCTTCCTGGCGCATGCCTCGGGGATCTGTGTCCAACACGTTTATAGTGATGCTGTCTCACAGAGTGACTGTGTTGGGAAGCTCGTAGTTTGAACAGAAGTATCAGCCAGACCTCATGCTGGATCGTAGGAAAAGTGTGTTTCCCATCTAGGTTGTCATAGTCTCAGAAGATGAGCGCTGCTACCTTCTGGTGACAGTTCAACTTGAGGTGTGAGTTAGCAGCGACAGTTGAGGTCTCAGTGGGCTGGCACAGATGTACTGGAGAACAGGAACATGGTTTTCACACCAGATTCCTGATGCTGCCCCTTCTTGCAGCTGCCACATTCTTAGGATTGGTCTAGGAAAGCAGCACTTCAATTTTGAGGAACTCTGACACCAGTGACTAGGTTTTTTTAATTATTTATGTAGTGTAGCTATTTAGAAAGTGACTGAATTTCTGTAAATACACTGGAGAGATAAATGTTTTGCATCCAAAGGAACATTGTTAGAAGCAGCTGAGAAAATTACTTTTTAAGAAACCAGCTGAGCAAACACATAATATCAAGTCACATGCTAGGTGTTGTGGTTTGCTGCATTTATGCACAAGATCGTCTGTAGCTGTAGAGATGGAGAATGGCAAGCTCTTTTTTTACAGCCTCCCCTATGAATCGAATTCATGCAGTGGCAGAAATTACATGTTTGTTTTTCTTGTGTTTTCAGTAAACATTAGTTGTATTTCTTCGTTGGACTGCCTGTTGCAAAAGTTGTGTTGATGCTTGTTCTTTATCTGCAAAGAGAAGTGCGGGTTATTTATCCACCTGTTCATGGAGCAAAATTACTTGTCTTTTTATTTATTTTGTTTTAATTGAATGCCGCTCTGTTTCTTTGCTGTATTCAGGGCAGATAGGATTGCACTGCGATGCTGTATGCGCCAAAACCACCGTCACCTCGCCTCTGTTTAACAATGCCTTCCCAAATGCAGAGATCCACAGCTTTTTGTTTCTAATAGAGATTGCTCGCTATATCCAGGTCCTTAGAATTGTGAAAATCATATTGAAATAGCTTTCTGCTTTGG